ACTGAAAATAGAAAAATCTTTGTCTTGATCCAAAAACAGATTCCATAGGAATTTTGAAAACATCAGAAGATGCAACGGAAAAGTATGCATCTTCTCACACTTTTTTCGAAGTTATGCACTTAAGTGTTCTAGGAAAATTTCTCGTTACAAAAAATTGATAATTCAAAAAAAACCTAACTTTTGAACCTATTTTTCACAGACTTTAATTTGTTGCCTGTGAAAGCAGTAAAACGTTCTGAATCCAGGGTTTTAGGCTTCTTATCTTACACAGAATTACACTCTGCATCTTTTGATATATAAAATAAGTTTCTTAATTGAAACCATTAATTTAAAAAAATAATTTAATTTGAAAAATTTGAAATTTTGAATGGTACTCAAACGAGAAAAATGCTATCAGAGATTCAAATAGCAGAATTTTAAATATGTTGGACATATTATATTTGAAATAAAATCATTTATGGCCGTAAACCATCAAACTGAATAACCAAGACGACAAATGGTTCACTTTGATCCTTTTATGAGGCTAATTTCGCCTGTTAAGATAAGGGTTAATATCAGTACTGTAAAATGTAAACAATAAATCACGGTATTGATAAGTGGAATAAAATCGAACAACATAAAAAACCCATGAGTCTATTTTCTAATTATAATCAAATAGTATTCCATTGTACAACTCTTTTCTTTCAAATCCAATTCTTGTGTTATACTTGAGTCTATTTATTATAAAATGAGTCTATATTCTAGTAACACCAAAACATTCACCCGTATCACGATCCGTGCCACCGAATACCCATTGATTACCAATTGCTCGACCACGATTGAACTTTCGCTTGGTCCGGGAACTTTCATCAATTTCGAAGACATGCCCAACACCGCTAATAACACCGGATAGCGCAAGAAATGTTCGGCGCAAACGTCACGCAAGAAGTTTTTCCAGTCGACGATTGTTGAGTTACTTGCGAAACCACAGTGACGACGAAGAAACTTATACGAATCGACGCCTTGTGACCAAAAAAGCATCAGATCCAGTATCTGGCTCAACTCGAATTTGGAACCCGAAAAAAATGTGCCATCGCGAATTGAACGAATGATTCTACAACTTCTTTCCTTACAAATCCAACGACATTCTAAAAAGTAAAAAGTAAATAAAAGATTGCATTGGGTAATGTGTACTACTACTTACCATTGATTGCTCGTCCACATGTTCCAATACACCAGTTGTTATGTCCATTATTGCAGGGCTCACTTGGTTTAAATGGGATTAAACCGAGCGTCTGACATAAGCTAACGGTATTTTCAAAAGAATCTGTAAACCGGTACCAGTGCCGCAAGGTGATATCGTCGATAAGTGGTAAAGGATAAAATGCCATTTGAAGAAACGTAGAAGAAACTTGAGTAGATTGAGGAAAAAGTGTACCATTCTGCACTGATACTTCCCATTTTATACAAAATTAGATTGAGACAAACTAAGTTTGTTATTATTGATAACTACTTAGAAGTCAAAACTATGATTACTTCTCACTCCTAATTAATTATATATATGTCGTAATTCTGTGCAGGAAATGAAATTTAATCATTAGGATGATGTCGTTCTATACTTCGCGTCGTCTATAGTTTCTTAATACAATTGCTCGTTTTCCTTCCAATAAATTCTTTTTCCTTTCTGTTACATATAATATGTGATGTCTATTCTGTATATACGTAATGTGTGGCGTCTATTCTGTATAAGTACCCTCCTGGCAGCGATCATCGAGATCGGGTCCTGCATCGAGCAAGCTTTTATATTTATAATTTTCAAATGTTTGAATCAATAATTTATATTCCATAGTGAAAAAATCATTTATTTTCTTTTTAAATGTTATTTGTTCACACAATTTAACATTTGTTGCATCCATTTTATTAAACAAACTTTAGAATTTTCTTTACATATAATTAAAGAACCCGCCAAACCTAAACCCAGGTAAACAGAAGTTTCTTATATCTCATCCTTCCGATCGATGGAAAAAAACACACTTAGCAATATGCCCTAGCTGCCAAAAAATACTTACAGGTAGGTCTGCCATTCTGATTGACATACGCTCACCGCCAGTTTAGACACGCATGGGTAGATATGTCCTAGAACGCGAAGTAAAACAGAAAAACTCGTGTATAATATTAAACGCACTGAAGGCAAATTTTTTTAAGAAGTTTGTGGAGTATCGGACTTAAGAAGATGTGTCGGTCAATTTTCTTTGCATCTTATTTAACTCCTGGAACAGGGATGCCAGCTGAAAAAAAAGTAAAGCGGGACTATTTTTTCTACAAAGCGAAACAACACAAAACACATTATTTGTCGTGCGATATCATTGACAAAATTAAACGCAGATGAGTATAGTCTTTTATTCTAGTCTTTCTAATATTACTATGTCAAAACATAAAATTTAATATAACTATCTTTTGTCACACAAAAAGCACTAAACGTTCAATTCAGATGTTATTTTTTACTAATGTGTTCATATTTTCATTCCACGAATGCTCTTACTAGGAAAGTCTTTTTTATTCAAAATCATAGATCATAATCATGAAAATTATTGCACGTTAAATTTTCGTGATTAATGCTCTTATCTTTAAATGTGGGATTGTTTCCCTTATGGAGGGACATCTGGCAACCCTGTCCTGGAAAGGAAAACTTGCATTTTTCGTCCGCAAAATAATTTTTTTGATAAATTTCTATTAAAACGCCGGAAAGCTTTTTCTCCACCCTTGATTGCTACGACGGAATATAACCCATGAACGCTACAATAAATTGAATAAAATACCGGCAACTATTCGTTCAGCGCATCAAACAGTGTGCCAGTGAAATCGTCCAACTATTATGGTACGTTGCAGCCGCTAATGACATGCATCATTCTTGTTATGAATCTTTCCTGTTCATCGAAAAATGCAAACCTTCATATGCATAGCCGTCTTCTTTTACTTGCTACAATTTTACCATACCATGTCACCGCGATGTTTCGTTTGTTTATCTATTTACCTCGCATTCGGCAGTTTTCCAAAGCTTAATGTATTTCTGCAACACGGTGTTTTTGCAGCAGAATTACAGATTCTTTGTCAATAAGCCAAAAATCTCAGATATTCAAAACATCCCAAAAAATCCGAGAAATTTCAAATCGATCGAGAAATCTGATATTTCGAAATTCGTAGTATAACAGCGAAATAAAAGGTATGACTCATTGACTAATGGAATTTTCTTCTCTTCCCTTTGCTTGAAAACATTGACAAATTACTTTTTCTGATCTATACTTTTCTTCCTGAACTTCTCAGATAGTAAACTTAGGAATGTAAACAAAAAGTTAATGAAATGAATCAGCCAATTCTTCTTCTGGACATTTCACCTTCCCTTTCTGTAATATCTTTCATATTTTATTTTCTATTACTTTTTTGATGGTATGACTCATATCAAGTAACACATATATTTCTTTTAAACGTGGAAATTTATTTGTTATAGAAACGAAAAAACCAAGTTGGAAAGTAAAAAAAATATAAGCTAACACAGGAACATTTACATGTAACTCAAAGAGAAGAGATTGATGCGTCAGTAGCGCAATTATACAATAAGTAAAAAAGCCATTGGGAGGAAATAATAAAGTTTATGTGTAAGAGATAAGTTAATCTTCTCTACTTGCAGTTTTACTCGAAAATAACACAAATTAACAATAAATCTTACTTAAAAACGTGCTTATATTATACCGGACATAACTCAAAGCACTGCTCATAACAAATAATTCAAGGTTAGTGATCTTTTTAATACTCAATGTAGAGTACGAATGCTGCCTTAGATTTCAACTCCAAATATCTTTATGCATTCCGTTTTTATGTTTCCTCTTTTTTAGGTCTCTTTGACGTGTGTATGTATTCTTCTTTCAACATAAAGTCATTTTTGTGAATAGTCAAAAATACTCATTTTTTGTATAACTCAACATACAATAAATAATAGTGATATATTATTACCGCTAAATTAGAAGCCAGTTGCTGGAAACTCGATCAAGGTTTGTAATACGTGCGTGTGTCTGTGGTTGAATTGATACGTTTTTATTTCTCATTTTTCTTGATAGAAAATAATTTATGTTAGAAATCTAGGATACAATCATCTGAACAATCTTTTACTACTATATTCTTTCATTTACTGAAATATTTAGTAAATACGTTTGAAAATGTTCAGGCTTTTGAAAGGATCTTCAGGGAATCTTTGAGTGACTTGCGACTAGTTTGTTCACAGTGTCCAAGTGTCCACTTCAAAATCAGGGTCACACAAGCCTCTTAATAGCAACACTTTAAGTGTAACAGAGGATGTTCTATAAGTTCCACGAATGACTTTGGATAGTCTTGACTTGGATAGTGGAAAATAAATGGAACACAGGTAGTCGATTATGCTGAACCACATAGCATTTGTTTTGGAATAAAAGTTGCAGACGTAGTAAACTTACAATTGATTTTTTTTTGAATATGAGAACACCTTGAGGTTTACTGTTGTATAGTTTAGGCTAAAAGTAAATTCTTTGCACTTGAATTCATAGCTTAAGTGTTGGATTCTATCAATTGTATAATTTTCTTTGTGCTTTGCTTCTTTCTGTTCTATCCTTATCGCTCTCAATCAATCACTATAAAATAAGTGATCTAAACTATTTTCATCCACCAATTAAAACGACATAGCTTTGGCAAAATTGATCCCAACAATCTAGAAACTTCGAACAATAGACGATTTTTTTGTATCATAAAGTATTTCATTGACTTCATGGAAAATTTCATGAAATCGCATTGTTTGTGTAGGCGAGCAATTTTCTTAATTCTCCGATTCTAAATTCATCCTCTGTTTATTATCCAAGGAAATATGTTTTTCTCTGTAACATTAGATGATTAACATATGATTTTCTTTTACCAGAGAAAAATTGAACCTCTTTTTGAATGAAAGATTTTTAATAAATGTCTCTCTGTTTGTACAAACTATAGTGTGTTTCATAATGTCGTCAATTCCATGCTGGTATGGTCATGAATGTCGAAATGAATGGTGCACGTATTCCCATCCAATCGAAACATTTACAGATACCTCACAAACTTTTCAATCAGCACTTGACACACCCACTTGTAATCGGACACCATGCAAATTTGGACAAAATTGTCAACGACTGAACTGTATTTTCTCACACCCGGCATTAATCAATTTTGATAATCATTCAGAGCAATATATTGCATTATCGAATAATGATAGATTTGATACATACTATACATATTCAGATTATCATTCTCAACATCTAAATGATTCTATGCGTAACAAAATGTTTCAAACAGTGCCAGGATCTCAGAAAGCCATGTTTAGAGAAAACGACACAAATAGATCGAGAAGAAATATGATTTCTCAATCCTATGATACAACAAACAATTCTTATGCACGCAATACAGCTCGACAGCAGCAATTACGAACAGTAACTTTTCCAAGAACACAATTCAATCAAAATTTACCAATCGCTGAAATCGACGAGCTAATTAATAGTTTATCTATTAGATTTCAAGTACATGTCCCACGTGTATTAAAACAACATGATTCATTGATTGAACAACACTCCAAGAATAATGTTGATGAAAACAACAATGAAGAAAATGATCAAATGTCAATTGATAAATTGCAGAATGATATCAATCAAGATACATCTATGAAACATGAATTTGATGATCATTTATTAGACGAATTAAAATCACAACGAACTGAATTCATCCAAACTATTGAACAGTTAATTTCAGAATTTCATTTAATAACAAATGCACTAGATGATTTTTCATATACTGAACTTCAGCGAATATCATCGCAATTAATACGTGAATCGTCTCGTTTAAAAGCACATTTACCTATTTATGCACACCGCACCACCATAGTTGAACAAGTAAAAAATAATCAAGTTGTAATATTAAAAGGAGACACTGGGTCGGGAAAAAGCACACAAGTAGTACAATATTTATGTGACGAAGGACTGGCTAATGAAGGTAAAATATAGTTGAACGATTTTTTAAAAAAAATTCGAGTTGACATTTTAAAATAATCATATTATGCAATAACAATACTAAGTACATAACCGTTTCACGTTTCTAAAGCATATTACTTCAGAGTCATTTTATTCTAATTAAAATTTGAATATTATGTTGATAGCATCTTTTTTATAAATTTAACTTTCACAGGACAAATAATTTGTACTCAACCACGAAAACTGGCGGCACGTTCATTGGCTATTCGAGTTGCAGAAGAATATGGATGTTCAATCGGACAAGAAGTAAGAGAATTGAATGACAAACGTGTTGCATCTTTACTCGACAAAATATAACTGTTTGTTCTCATATAGATACTGAAGAATGATTATCTACTATACTTTGATATTCTAGTAGAAGTAAAATGAGCTATCAATCTAGTAGAATATAGACGAATCATCACGCATAAACTTGAAAAAAAGCAAGCTGTTTTAACACAAATGATATATTGCATTTCAACCATTTTTCTATAATATATTTTACATTTTCATTTCTAATATTGGTAATAAAATGCTAAGTGTAGAAAATATTTAAACAATGATGAATTTTTCTTTAGTAAACATAGAGAAGTTAGTTACCATTTTTTCCTGTGTCAATGTCGTCTACGTTTTATACAAATGAATCTTCTTTTTGTTTAGATTGGTTTTTATGTGGGTAATAATCGTAGAACTTCATCTTGTACCAAAGTAAAGTTTATGACTGATTCAGTATTTCTAAATGAATGTTTGCATGATTCCATGTTAGAACAATATTCAATTGTTATTATTGATGAAGTTCATGAACGCAAAGTTGATACTGATTTGATTATTGGAATTATGAAAACTTGCTTAAGACAAAGAAAAAATCTGAAGGTAACGTTCATAGTAAACTTAAAAAAGAGAAGATCAATAGTGTCCATTAAATTACTGACTGTTGTATTTGACAAAGCTGTTGATATTAATCCTGCGATAGAACAGAAGAACACTGGTCTACCACTGTGTCCCGTCCGGCACGCCAAAATGTCAGAGGTGGTCTTCAGCTGAGGTCAACTTTTCGCGTGAATTCTTAGTTTAATGCACATCAGAAGTCAGCTTCGACAGTCAAAATTGTTAGTAGTAGTGTTTAAATTAAACCTGCAAAAGCTGACTTTTCTAAAATTTTACTTTTCAGTAAAAAAGCAAATCAAAAATATTTTCAATAAAACCAGGAAACTGCTGAAACTTTTACCAGTCATCATGTGGAATGCGTCATGTTCTCTGTTCTTTTACATCCTACGAGAGTAAAACCTTTTTGTCTATCCTATATTTTTCTATTTCTTTCTCTTCTCTGTCTAAAGTACAGAAAAGAAAGAAACAAAGACGTACGATGTGAAAGTATATCACCGGACTTCGAAATTTTCAGATGCGATTTGAGTCCGGAG